ATTTTGCCAGTGTGTTTTCCGGCGAAATGCAACTCCAGGAGCGTGGTGTCAAATATCACGCATGTCTACATCTCATCTACGGACACGTGAAAATTTTGGCGGAAAAACTGCTAAGTCGGGAGCAAGAAAATTTGGAAGACTGAGAATGTTCGCTGCTCATGTGTGACCAAAAGACTTCAAATCAACGCCCTAGGATCACCCGGAACCTACATGCGGACACATGAAAGTTCTAGCGGGAAAACTGCTAACTCGAAAACGAGAAAAGCTAGAAAGCTGAAAATTTAAAGGAGCCACTGTGATTCCCTGCGATCTTGCTGCAGCACGAAATAGTACAAAAACGCATGATCTCACCGGCCCGCCTGATGCGTTCCAGCCTGATTGATTTGCACTTGCGCAACGATTTAGAACGCTTACCGGAAAAGCTATGGAGTTTTAACTCTGCGTTGATATTCTATATATATATATATATGTACACCCTCCGTTCAGTTTGAAGGTGAAATGTCCTGCACGCGAACATGACAAATAATCAATTTTATCGCAAACTCAAAAGCGAGAGCATTTTGTGGATTTTGCAATCTCTTTCCGACATCTTATGCATTGTCATATTTGCATTTCTTCGATGAACGGCCGCTCATCGAAAAAACGATCGGGCTTCATGCAGAACTGATAATCTTGCATGTTGCGGTTCGCGCTGCCTCATGGTGTAACACTGTCACCTTTTCTTCTTTGCCTTTTCTTCTTTATGTAGAAAAAGGCCATAACGTAGCCAAAATAAGTCCACGTGTTACACCACGGCGTAGAAATAGTCCTGCTGTTAACAATCTGACTGCTGCAATTTTAGTGCAAAAACGCATGGTCAATTTTGGCGCAAAAACGTATGATCAAGTTTAGCGCAATAACCGTTGGTTCAAAGACGTAAAATGTTGCTCGGATTTCAGAACTCTCGCACAGTGTTATGTGTATATAGCATTTGCGCTGGTAGACCCATACTGTGGCGGCGTGGCAAGTTACGCAAAGGAATGGATCAGTTATCAATTCTTCGTGTGTACTTGCAAGCACGGACAAACAGACATGGATCTGCTGAGCGGCAAAAAAATTGATGTAAGACCTCAGTGAAAGTAGTCCAAGTTTTAAATCAAGTCGAAAATAAAAACACATTTCCCATTTAGTTTTTGTAAGCAAGCGTCAAAAATAAACCAGTTGCAAGTAAGGCTGTTGATGGCTCTCCCCTACTAGAGTTGCTTATAAGCAAGCTAGTGGTGACTTAATTCCTTGGAATGAGCCACTACTAGTTCACCACCGAAACAAACGAACGAATCAAAAACAGAGTGGATGTTCTACCGACGGAATCGATCCTCGATCTTTTCCGCGCCACTCGCTATAACTTCCCCTCCCGCTCCCCTTCTTCCCGTCGTCCTAACAAGCCCGCTAGAAGTATTAAATTCGTGCTGGGAGAATGGCAGACGTCTGCATAGTGTGGTCGAAGTGCAGTAGTACCACAACTTTGATACTACCTGTCATTGCTAAAAAACTTTTCACTATGGGGTATTGAGCTGTAAAGTTAAATGTTAATTGAGTGCTGCCAGTGCCAATGATTCATTTTATTTTTCAAAAACTTTTTTAACGGTTGCACTGATCAAAGAATAATTTAGATATGTGATAGCCGCTTTGATGAATATTTCGAAAATTATGGTAAGAATGCGAGCCGACATACATGTTACGAAAACTACAATGAGACCACAGCGCTCCCTGTCAGTGAGAGATTATATTCATTTGGTCAACGAATGACTGCTGCTAAAAAAACCTTCAGTAAGAGATTCTCGATCGTGGTAAGCTTGTTGCATGTCGTCGCATAAAATTTTACTTGTTAGGTCAAAATTGGATTAGTTGAAAACCAAAAAAAAAACTTCAAAGACATTTTGAACAAATAACTTTTTACACTTTCTGGTTCGACTTATGCAAAAATTTGAATAGAAAAAATTTTTTTGTTTCGCAAAAATTAAATTATTTGCAAAAATTAAATTATTGTATAACTTATTGCAATCACAACTTCTATTCTACCATATTCTATTCGGTTGGCTCCTCATCATTAGAATATTTGCAGAAAACGAATAGTACACCGATCTGCGTGAGTTATGTTGCGCTGGATTCGAAAGGCATATTTTTTGGTGCATATGCATTTCGCCCGACTCAACTAAAACACATGAAACGGTTTCGAAAGCACTCGTATAAAAATCTTGCTGTATTCCTGTCACACTGCCAATCCAACACAACTAAACCATGCAACAGTTCGTTTAACTTCAATAGTAACTGCTTCAAAGTAGCTTAAACTTTTTATGCGTTTTTCGCATCTATACAGCGCAAAATGCATATTGTCTAGGAGCTGTCTGTGTGTGTATGTCTGTATGTGTATGCATGTATGTGTGTCTATGTGTGCGTTTGTATTTAGCTTTCGTCTCAAGTTACAAGGCTGAAACTTTGAGAAATTAATCTATATATAGGTGTGGGCACTACCTTCAAAATCAACGCTCACGTCCACATAGTTTTCACGAAAAGGCACATGAAAGTTTTTTTGGCGGAGAAGCGTTTCCGGAGATGTCGCAACCTAGAAGGCTGGATGTACAAGCCTGTGCAAGAATAAATATGTACACAAGACAAAAATAAAATGGCCAGCTTACCGCAAAGCCCAAATATTTTTATTTTTTGGCCTTGTGACTCAATTAATCCCGATGCTGTCAAAGAAATGAACGCACGATTTGTTGGAATGTAAGTGTGATTTTCCGAGAATGAACAGTTTCGGGTCAGAGCGAGTGTATTTGCGAGTCAGAGCTGGTTTTGGGCAAGGAATATGTTTGGAACTGGAAGAATTGCCTTGAGCCAGAAGAGTTTCTGAATCGACGAACTTTCTGAATCGAAGGAGAGCTTCAAGATCCAACAGAATATATGTATACGCACATACAAGCACACGTTGTGTCTGCATTTAAATAATCCATAATTGCATTCTCGTACTGACACTGTTGTAATTTCTCAAAATTTGCAGGCTTCAAGTATGTGATTGAAGATTTGCTACCTTACGCTGTACATGAATACTCTCATATGAAAAAGCCAATGCCTAATTCGCGATGCAGGGGAAAAAATGGTATCGAGAGGTGTGATACGCCGAGGGGTTGCTACGATTTTCACTCAGTTGATCGAAAGCGCTGGGTTAGCATTTCTCCTACTACTCTAACTACTACCAGCTTCGCTCAGATTACTGCTGCTTCGCCACCCACTAAATAAGCCCCTTTTTATGCACTTTTGCATATTATGCAAATGCGAAAACTTATACTGGCAAGAAGCTACGTGTGGTTGCTTGTGTCTGTGGGTTCGCACTTTCTGTTGCTCAGTTTCAGCTAGTTTTTGTTTTCGTCCAAGTTTCTCGTTTTCGTTTTTTAAACAGGAAAATATGGACTGAAAGCATTACGAATCGGTAGCATGCCGCTTCGAGGGATGCTTAAGTTACTTCCAAAAACTTTTTGTTTCCTGCCGCTGTGACTCATCGCTATACGCATTACTCAAAATTTGTTTCGGCTGATTTGCACACAGTTACTTCGTAATTCGTCTTGAGCGGCCCGTACTGAAATATTTTTGATATTTCATGCTGAGATCAATTTTTAAAATAATTCAATTCCCAGGCAAAATTTGGCGGCACAGTTGAGGACATCATTTCACATAAACATCTGGTGATAGTTTTTATTTTACATTTCTTTCTTGAAAATGATTCATTACAGCGGCCAGTCACCCCTTGCCCTCTACAATCCTATTTCATATTTTCACTACTGTGTCTCATATTTTGCACAAACGATTTTTGCCATCGGCTGCCTGTCCGGCGCTATTTCTCCATCAGTCTGACGGAGGTACACTTCTTATTTCCCGAAAAAACTGGTCCATTTCTTTCTGCAAAAAAAAATTTTTGAAATACAACAGAATACACAAGTCGTAAGTTGCTGGACCGATTCTTTGATCTGGAGAGACTTTAAATTTAGATTATTAGACTAATCATATTATGTACAAAGGTAGTGCAATAGGCATATGCGCAAATATATAAAGCCATAACGATTCTGAAATATACAATCCTCTTTCAAATAGTACCAAATCATCACCCCCTTCCCCCCCCCCCCCCCCC